CCTTGTCACCCTCACCCCGCTCCTGGACCCGCCCCCGGGCCCTGCGACCCCCATCCCGTCAGCCAGCCCTCCCTCCAATGATCTCTCATCCTGGGTCCCACGGGGGACCCAGGAACAGTTCAGGCCATGTCCCCTGCCACTCCCCTGGGCCCCATCTCCCAGAGGCAGCACTCTGACACCTCCCACCCCTCTGTCCTGCGTGGCTCCCGGCTGTCCACGGGGTTTTGTGGGGGGGGGGTCTGAGCTGACACCCTGTGTACCCCCTCCCGGTGTCTCTCCCGCCTGCAGATGACGTGCTGCCCATTTTCGCCTACCCGCACAAGCTGGGTAAGTCAGTCACCGGGGGCTACGTGTACCGGGGCTGCGAGAACCCCAACCTGAACGGCCTCTACATTTTCGGGGACTTCATGAGCGGGTAACTTGCCCTGGGCACCCAGGCTAGTGTGTGTGTGTGTGTGTGTGTGTGAGTGTGCCTGTGCACACAAGTATATGCTGCTCTGACCCAATCCCCAGATGTGGGCCAAGGAAGCCCTAACCCTTGCCCTGCCCAGTCCTCCAACTCCAGGTGGCAGGGCCTGCAGTAGCATCCTAGACTAAAGACTGCTGGCTCCTGTCCTCCCCACCCTGAGCTCTTTTCTGATGGGCAAGGCCAGCAGTTTCCTCTGCACTCAGGGCACTCTGTCACTGTCCGCCCCACCCAACCAGCGGCATAGGGACTTGGGCCAGGGTCCCTTGCAAGTTGGGAAACAGGGCAGTGAGGGCCAGCCCGAGGTCCCCTGCTGGAAGAGGGGGCTTCTGTCCAGGCCTGGCTGTTGCCAAAGGGCAGGGCCAGGCGTGCAGGAGGGTCAGTCTCACCCCCCGAAGGTTTTAGGGGACAGGTGGGGAGGAGAGTGGACCTCCTGAGCCTGCTGGGGTTGGGCTACATCCTTAGCGGAGCATAGGGAGACCATGACCAACCTGTCCCCCTAGAACACCAAGGCTCCGGGAAGCCTGGGCCTCCAGAGCCCTTTCCTCGGGCCTTGGCTTTCCTGTCTGTGGAATGGGTCTAGTAAATCCTCTGTTTTCACTCTGATGCTCCTTCCCCAGGAGTGCCGAAGCTCCCTGACTGCAGAAATCCAGCCGATTCCCCCACGTTTCCTGGGCCCCTCTGCTGGGTCGGGCCAGGATTGAGCCAGGGCTAGGGCAGCAGAGATGAAGAGCACCTCAAGTCTGGGTCTTGAGACACCGGGCTCAGTGGGAGCCTGCATGTGCAGCCTGGGAGGGCCTCCTGGAGGGGTCAGTGTCTGGCCTGACAGGCAGAGCAGGGAGTGGGCCCAGGGTGGGTGGCAAAGATCACCCCAGCAGGCCTGCTGGACGCTCAGCGGTCGCCATTCTGGACGTATAGATGGGGGGAACCGACAGGTGGTGGCCAGGCATGACCGCGATCCTCTCCCCTCATAGGCGCCTCATGTCCCTCCGAGAAAACCCAGGAACGGGCCAGTGGCGGTACAGTGAGGTCTGCATGGGCCGAGGGCAGACCTGCGCTTTCCCAGGCCTCATCAACAACTACTACCCACACATCATCTCCTTCGCAGAGGATGAGGCTGGTGAGCACTTCTGGGACCCCCATCCTGGCTGCCTGGGTGGGGCCTGGCTCCCCACGGCTAGAGGTCCTGGGCTCCTATGCCAGGGTTGGGCACTGGGGGGCCGGGCAGCGGCCTTGGTGCTTCCACTGCTGCCTCTGGAAGGTGGGAGCTGGGGCCCCTCTTCTGGGCAGCATTGCTGCGGGCAATAGGAATAGTGATGATAAATGAACTTTCAGTGCCAGAGCAGGGTGGGGGTGAGGGAGAGGGTCCCACACCAGCCTCCGCCTTGGTGCTTGGCCCAGGATTGTTCCCCAACAAAAGGCTGGCCCCCAGCCGGCCCTGCTGGATGCTTGTTGGGGTTTCTAGGCAACCCCCCCATCTGTGGAGGGGTGTCCCTCACAGGGCCCGACCTGAGCCCCAGGGTGAGTCTGGGAAACCTTTGTCCAGTGGAAACTGCTGCCACCCCCACACGCCCCACCCGCTCCTGAATCCTGCATCTGCTGGGCATCCCAACCCTTTCTGTCGGCCAGAGGGTGTGGACTTGTTTCAGAAGCAGGGCCTCTGCCTCCCTGCCCAGACACAGGCCTAGGAGGAAGGCACAGTTCCGGAGGCCCAGTCCTCAGTCCCCTGAGGGGCTTGGGGTGATGGAAACCCAGGTGGCCGTGCCACTGAGCTGGGCCGTGGGAGGTTCCCGTGTGTCCGAGAGTCGGAGGGGTCTGGGCTCTAGCTCCGGGCTCCGGCTTCGGCCTCTCTGGCTGGCAAACTGCACACGAGGTCCTTGGGGCCGGTCCACACCGCGGGGTCAGCCCCACACACACCCAGGTGCTAGCCCCACTGTTGGCAGGTCAGGGCTGGAGGAGCCCTGGGCTGGCCTGGTCCGACCCCATCCGTCACACCCAGCGAGGAGGGCGTGCTCTGAGGTGGAGAAGGGAACCGCAGCCAAAGGGGACACTTCGCTGGGCTCCCCTTGCCTGCGGGGCCCATAGCACCGGGGGCCCCGTGTCCTCCCCATCTCCCGGTGGGTCTGGTGCTACTGCTTGGAGGACCACGCAGTGTCACAGTGCCCCGCGGGTCAGTCCTTCGAAGAATTCCTGGAGTGGCCTGTGCCCGCTTCTCAGACACCACCCCATGCTAGCCTCCCTCGACTGCAGTGTCCCCAGGGCCACGCTGTCCTCAGTGCCTGGCTGGGTTGTCTCTGCAGCTCCTCGGAACCCTCACACTCCCAGGCCCAGGACCCCCTCTGCTGTCCTCTGACAAGGACGGAGGATTCAAGTGGTGGAACCATCACACTGGCTCTTCTCTGTGTCCCGTGTCAGTGTGGGGCAGCAGACTGCTGAGTTCCAGGCCTGGCTTAACCTTCCACCAGCTGTGTGGCTTTGACGCAATGCCTGACTCTCTGAGCCTCTGCTTCCCTATCTTTAAGATGGAAACATTGCAACCTGTTTCCTAGGCTTGGGTGCTCATCACAGTAGGAGTTGAGGGTAGGATGAGACAGAAAGAGCAGGGACAGAGAGAGTGACCGCCTTGGGAGGTGGAGGAAAAGGCTTCCCATGAGGCCATCATTAAGCTGCTGGAAGTAACCCATGGTAAGTGGAGAGCAGTGCTTTCTGGCTCTGCCTGGGATGGCCTGGCCCTGCTGGTCAGTGGAGATGCCTGGGGGACTGGCAGGGCCTGGCCCTGAGTACTGACAACAGTAATCACTGGTACTGACTGAGCACTGGTGCTGACTGAGCACCACTCTCTCCTCCTTCAGTCTTATAGTTGGCCTCAGAGGCAATGCCCATTTTAAAGTCAGGAAGCTGAGGCTCCAAGAGCCAGTGGGGAACCACAGCCCCATTCCCACCGGGAGGTGTGTGGTGCTGGGCAGGTGCCAGGCAGGAACCAGGGTGGGCAGAGGCCACCAGGGAGGAACAGGAGCAGAGGTTGGAGCCTGGGTGGGTGGCTGGGAGGGAGTCTCCGCTTCAGGGCCAGGGCCATAAGGCGGTCGAGGCACACTGAGAGTGAGCCAGTCTCAAGCTGGGGGTGGCACAGGGTGGGGTGGCCTGGACCTCCGTGTGCCCCAGCCTTCTCACTGTCACCCTGTCCACCGCGAAGGGGAGTTGTACTTCATGTCCACAGGTGTGCCGAGTGCCACAGCAGCCTATGGTGTTGTCTACAAAGTGATCGACCCATCCAGGTGAGTCCCTGCCACGGCTGGCATGGGCAGGGCAGACCCAGGGCCCAGGGTGGTTCTGCCCACCCCAGCCAGGTGCAGCTCTGTGTGGATGCGGGTGACGGGCTGAGATGGGGCCCAGGCCTGCCCTCCTCCCAGGCATCTGACTGGCGTGCTCCTCACTCCCCATTTCCTGGGGTGCCCCATCCCCTGCACCCCAGAGCGCCTGCTCTTCATGCCCCCTGGGACTGCTGGCTGGAGCCCAGGGTGGGACCACTGCCTGGGCTACTTCTGGGTAGAGCTCACTGATCTCAGCCGCCCATTGTACAGAAGAAATGGGCACAAAGATATAAAGCCGTGCACGGGCCGGGGCCACCTAGGGCCGGGATGGGAGGTGGGTACAGGCGGCTGGCATCAGAGCCTGTGGCTGCCCTCCACGCGATGCTCAGGTTTGGCAGAGCTGGGAGAATTCAATGCGACTGGTCGCCCTAAAGGCGGAGACACTCTGGGTGCGGAAAAGCCCTACGCAGTGTTCTTGACAAAACATTTAAGTCCATAATAGATTTAGATACACAGATAAGTGCAAACAGAAGTTCCTCTCATGCCTCACACCCACTCTGCTATTAATATCTTACAATATCATTTGCCACAGTTAGGACACAAATAAGAGACATTATTTGGTATTTGTCGTCGTCGTTGTTTGGAGACAGGGTCTCCCTATGTAGTGCAGGCTAGCTTTGAACTCACTACATAGCCCAGGCTGTCCTCAAACTGTTAGCAATCCTCCTGCCTCAGCCTCCTGCATGCTGCGATTACAGAGGTTCACCACCACATCCAGCAGCCGTTCAGCCTTTAAAGTATCTGGTTGCTCCCTCCTGTCCTCTTCAGCCCAGGATCCCATCCAGGAGCCCACATTACGTTTAGTCATCGTGTCTGCTCAGCTTTCCCTGGCCTCTCTCTGTGACAGTGTCTCACATTTTCCTTGTTTACGGAATGGTGTTTTTTAAAGTTGTGAAAAGTACATATACATTAAATAGTGACCTAACTGTTTATCCAGAAAAGCCAGAGCCCCTCTCTTCCATTCCTCTGCTCTTGCTCCGAGGTCTGTCTATCCCTGAAGTGCCAGGCCCTGTGTCCTGCGGTGTGCATGATCTCACGTAGACTTGTGTTCTCCCTTTTCCTCCCTGCTTTGGGTAAACTTTTCCTTGTGACTACATCACCCTCAAAAAGGACAGTGGTGAAGAAAGCCTGGCCACTTTTCTGCTGAGTCACTCAGCCATGATTGCCTTAGCCATGCCTTGGAATTTGAGGTTATTTCCTTCTTTTCCAAAGAATGCTTCTCTAAGGAAACAGCACATACACTGAGGTCCCAATCCCGGCCAGACGTCGCCACAGATGCGCCGTCTGGTTGGTTGGTTTCTGCGACACCCTCTCCTTTGGCTCATTGTACCCTGGATAGAGCAGGGCCTGGGGAGACTGAAAGGTTCTCGTGCCCAGGTCTCAGCTTGGCTTGGGGTCATTCCTCCAGCCCCAGAGTCCAGTGTGCCTAGTTTCTCTACCTTTGGAAAAATGCCCCTGGGCCGCTCTGATGCAGCCTCATTGAAGTGTGGTCCCCTGCGGGCCAGTCTGGGAACAGGGCAGCCCCATGCAAAGAGCCACAGATCAACAGCCAAAAACTAATTAAAATGGAATCCCATTCTGTCCTTGGGCCCCCAAGGGAAGTTGAAGGAGGCCGGTTTGCACCCTGCCAGCCTTCTTACATCTTTTCTCTGGCAGCTCCCTCCAGCTCCCCACCCCCTGCTCGGCCCTGGCTTGGGGCTCCTGCCCGCCTGCTCTATGCTATTGCCAGCCTTCCCCTTCCCAGCTTCCGCTGGGCTGAGCCATCATGGAGATCCAGAAAGAGAGGCAAGGGTAGGGGCAGGAATCCACGCGGTTCTGGGAGTGACTGAGTTGGAAGTGCCGAGCAGCCGGGGCCATGGTGCAGGACTAGCATAGGCAGGGTGGGCACCAGGGCTGGTGTGGGACCCATGGGTCCTGGAACTGGGCTCTGTCTTAGGACCCCAAGAACACGAAGGGGCAGAGATGCCACAGGGCCACCTGTTATTCTTGCTCCTTTCCATGCCTCCTGGCTCCTCCCTCCCTGACCTGTCACAGGGAAGGGCAGTGTCAGGGGGACATGGGGAGACTCACAACCTCTTATGTGTCATTGGCAGACGGGCACCACCTGGCAAGTGTCACATCCAGCCTGCCCAGGTGAAAGTGAGGAGCCGCCTCATCCCCTTTGTGCCCAAAGAAAGTAAGTGCCCACTGAGGGGTTCACTGTGGGGGGGGCTCTGCTGCTGCCTCCTGCTCCCCCTCCAGCCAGGACCAGGCCCCTCCTTGGTCACTGGGGCCAGAACCATGCCTGGTACACATTGGACACTTAGTTAAGTGGGGCAGAAATGCACCGTATGTGAGTTAGACTGGCCACAACTCAAACTAGGTCCTAGGCTGTGGGCAGGTGGTGCCTACTGGAAGGGGAAGAAAAGCCAGGCCGGGAAAGGAATGTTCAGAGTTCTTGGGAGGGACAACTGTGTTGGGCAAGGCAGACTGAATTCACTGGGGTGGGGCCAGTAAATTCCCCCACCCACCTGTTTGTCCCTGTGTATTAGCATTTCTGTTGCTGGGACACATACCCAGCACCAACGCTTAAAAAGAGGAGTGTATTAATTTGGTTCTTGGTTCAGAGGGTTCAGTCCATGGCTGGATGGCTTCAAGGTAGAAAGATCATGGTGGAAGGGCACGGTGAGGAAAGCTCACCCCATTTGCAGCCAGAGCTCAAAGGCACCCCCAAGTGACACACCCATTCCCACCAGACCCTGCCCCCAACAGTACATTTAGCTATGAACTCATCAATGGATGAATCCACTGAGGAATATAGCATGCCCATGCCTAATCATCTTCCAAAAGCTGTACTTTAGGGGCCAGGGACTTAGCTCAGTGGTTCTGCTGCCTGCCCCAAAAGTGCAAGGACCCGAGTTCGATCCCTGGTACCAAAAGAAAAAAAAATCTTACAAAAGCTGTAATTTAGAACCCATGAGGCTTCTGGGGAACATTCTAGATTTGAACTGTAGCACCATGCGTCCATCAACCCACCCTCCCTTCCCTCCTCCCACTCATTCATCTATCCATCCACTTACTCTCCCATCCCATCCCATCCATCCATCTACCCATCCATCCACTAACCCACCCATCCATCCAATTTACCCATTCCCCTCCATCCATTAATCCATTCACCTCCATTCATCCATCCACCATCTATTCATCCATCCATCTATCCACCCATCCACTCACCCACCCATCCATCCATCCACCAATCCACCCATCTATCCATCCAACCACCCATCCACCCATCCACCCATCACCACCACCACATGCTGTGCACACAGTGGGGACATTGACTCTAAGCTAGCTATGGTCCTTGTCTTCTTGGTTTGTTTACATATAATCTTCCAGCTTGAAAATACCAACCACTAGTTTACAATTTTAAGAAGTACTTTGTGGGTCTCATGAACTATTTTCATAGGCCAAATGTGCGCACAGGTCACTGTGGAGGGGCACCTGGGCAGAAGGGCCAAGCTCCTGCCCCATCCCCGAAGGAGGGATGCCAGGCAGGCAGGCAGAGGGGAGTGCGGCATTTCAGAGCAGTTCTGGCTGCAGTTCTTCGGGGCTTGGCAGGTTCTCCATTCCCTCATTCAACAGCGCCTGGCACTTGTGTTTGTCACCCACTCTGTGCTGGAGACTGGGGCCCCAGGGAGCAGTCAGAACAGCCCCATCCTGGCTGGGATGTGTTCAGGTCACTTGGGGACCCAGCCAGGGTGGTGGTGGGGGCTCCTGGATCCCAGAGAGAAAAGGAACGGGCGCCGTTGGACAGGATGGGGTCTGGGTTAGGGCCAGGAGGGGAGTCCAGCAGGCCCTGCAGCGGGACTGGCAAGCCCAGTGGGTGGAGGGGGGCTCCAGTGGGGGGGGCGCGTTGCCCGTGGCACTGTGCCAGCACCCTGGCCTGTACTGGGCCTTGATCTGGGAGGCATTTCTCAGGCCTTTGCCAGGGGTTTCCAAAGTGGGACTGGCACAGTGCGATGGGGACTCAAAAGGCCCCAGGATACCCTTAGGAAGTGACCAACCTGGGGTCAGCCCTCCTCTTTGGCCTTCACGAAGGGGCAGTGTCCAGGGCTTGGCATGGCACCTGCATGTGCAGGGCTGGACCAAACACACGACCTCCTACACAGAGTCCTGTCCCTGGGGCCAACGTGGGCCGGCAGTGTCCCCAGGGCCTGCAGCAGAATCACCCGGCTCAGTCCTCCACGATCTGCTGTGGCCAGGCCCTGTGTTGGGTAACACACTGGGTGCCCTGCCTTGTCTGCAGTGATAGGCGCCAGGGCCGTAGCCTGTCACCCTGACCTGAGTGGTCTCCATGCGTCCAGGGTCCATCCTGCTGGCCAGGACCACCTGGGACTTTAGCTCGTGCCCTCTGTGGCCTCTCACCCCCAAACCAAAGAGTGAATGATGAGAGGACCTTTGGCTGTCTCCCCCACAGCCTGGGGCCCCAGCATCCATGCAGTTGCCAGGACTGTTTGCTGAGTGGCTGAAGAAGGCCTGGCACCCCACTCCAGGCGGGCACCATACGGCTTCTGGGTGACCAGAGAAGGCCCCATGCTGCTGAGAGGCCCCTGTCTTCAGGGTCGGGGGGGGGGCAGAGGGGCCGCAGGGGTGGGGAGATGAGCCGCGGGACAGCCAGGGCCCTCTGACCTGTGCCCTTGTCTG